CTTAGAGTTTACTTTTCGACAATTTGTTCTAAAAGTAAATTCTTTGCATTTGAAAGTTCAAGTGTTCGATTAATTTCGACTATTTCTTTTATGCTTTGCTTCTCTCTGTTTATCTTTATATAACCCACTGTACTTGGCCAAAAAAGCGAGATAACGGTTCGATAGGTTCCCTCGTCAGTGGCTAAAATGCATGCATCGTGCAAAGTAGATGTCCTTTGTTCGAAGTTCACAGAAACCGTTGTAATGGTTTGATCCAACTATTTGTTCTTTAACAATATTTTGCTACCTTACCAGCAACAGAAACAGCGTTTTGGTTTAAAGTTGATACTTCGATCATTACTAATTGTGAGGAAAAACTGATCGATTTCGATCGAAAATGTGTATTATAGACCTTTTCTACTTACTGGTACTATTGAATTTATCATCTGCGTAATCATCCCGGATATCGGAAAGCATTTCATATCCTCCCTGATTCGATGACGCTGAAGAAAAGGTTCTAGAATTTGTGTAGTTTTTTGTGTCTAGTAGGTTATTTTGATGCACTAAATGTTCCAAATATATATTTGATATGATTGTGTTATTGTGAAAAGATACCAATAAATACCTCTTAAACGATTTGCGGCATCAGAACAGTCAATTGTCTCAAATACTTCAATTAAATAACTAAAATCTTGGGACGAAATTTTTCCTCTATCGAATAATGCTTCTAACAAATTTAATGTACCACCTATTGATGGATCATCACGTAATCCACGTGGAATAATATCACCAACTAGAAAATGTAATTTTTTGCGATCATCATCAGATAAACGCTCTTGTACTTGCAATAAAATACTTCGACAACGGTTCATCGGTTCCATCATTGTTCGTATTCTACAATTACAAGTAGAATATTTATATTTGTTAATAATTTTTCCAAAATACTTGGTTTCAATAGTAATGTAAACTATATACGTAAATTAATATAACGAAGCGATTCTATGTATGTATGAACGGATAAACGATGCTTTTCTTCTTTGTTATCTGTGTTATTTCTAATCGAAGAGAATCTTAACCGTAATTCTAAATAGACGATTTATCAATAAAATTAATTGGAAGACGAATGTACTTGTTCATTCAATGTTGTTTTCGTTTGAAAAAAGATATCTGAAAAATTCTTAAATTTAGCATGATATTACATTGCCAAAAAACCTAGATTATCTAGAGAAAAGAATTGTTAGTATATTACATCTCAAATACTCCGATCTCCTATTCATTTAACTCAGCTATTCATAACCGGTCACATCAGATTACAAAACTACTAAAGAAAACTTAAAAATTAAACTGCTACTATCATGACCAGATGCGTCGACACTTCTGAGGGGCGTAGGAGAGTGGCGCATCGTCTCCTTGTTTTTGAATTTTTTTTTTGGTAACGCTATGAAATTTTTAACAAGCTGAAAATGCTCAGAACTCTTAAGAAAGAACTTATTATAATAAAGGGGAAATGTTTAATATGAATGTTCTTTTTATGTTACTCTAGGACTACATGCGTTAGGTGTGTCTCTCCTACTTACTATCTACACAAGCAATTTCCACTTGTCGAACAGTCAAAATGATATGATGGATCTATTTCTCTTTCTTTTTTCTGTTCTATGTTTATTCCATGAAAATTCTTTTCTTTTTCTTCTTTTTACAAATAAATATTAAATCAACAAACGAGAATATTCTATTTTTTTTTTCATGAAATTATTTCGAAAAACATATTTTTTAACAATTTTACCATTCTCCCCTGCTTTTTACATCGAATTACGCTTGTCAACATGACGAGTTATCTACTACTTATCTTACAGTAATACAGTTTTCATAATATCCTAAGCGTTTTCACAACTAATCGGAGTATAGTAGACATCTAACGAAGATGGGAAACATTTTCTTACATTTCCTATCTTCGTTAGATGTCTATTGCATAAAAACGTTTCTCGTCTTCTTCTATCGAATGTTACGACCACATTATAAGACAATATTATAGAATAAATTTTCAAGCTATTATGTTGTGTTTTTTTCTCTTTTTCTTCTTCGTTGTTCTTACATCACTGTTTCTTATCATACACGAGAGTCTACCTCATTTTCTTTTCTGATATTCTTGACATTCTTTTCATTCTGTTCACGTGGATAAAAAACACAGTAGACAGCGATCACCGAGAAAGTGTGAAGGTCATAGTCTTATATATTTATAAACGGTTGATATAACTAGACAACAAAAATAGTCTGCTTTTATGATGAAACTAAACAGTCATATTGATGGCCAAACACGTCTAAGAAAATTTTCTCTAAAATAGCTTCGTATGGTGAATATTTTCGTCTCTAGTTGAGATAGAAAGTAGGAACAGATGCCAACTAATTGATTCTAGTTTACTTTGTTAATATAACAGAATATAGATTCTTCCTTTTATACTGAATACAATCACTATCTGTACTACACGATAGATTGATCATTTTGATGAAAATATAAAATTTAATCTTATAGTGGAGAATAGGTAGTAGATTCAAAGTAGAATAGCCCTTTGACATTTGTAAAATTTACTGTGTTTGAAAGAATTGTATTCTCACACTCATTTAATATTTTACCTCTGTAAATCTTCGTTTTCTCTACAATAAATTGTTAAAATTAGTTCAACAGTGTAGAACAATGGTTAAAGAAACGTGTGCAAAATGTACTGATTGTCTACAGTTTACGTACGAGTGTCCAGATGATTCAAACCGGCCGTAAAATCGATTTATGACGCAGTAATCCTATTCTTCGTAATACTACCGCCGTAATTGATTTCGTAAAAGATTGTTTACAGCTGCAGTATTACGTTACAACACACGGGCGTAATTTCCCGTATATGGTCATCGTAATCAATGACCTAGGTGATCGAAACGCCACACAAACGCAGAATTTTGTCGAAAATTACATAGAGTCAGGAAATGTCGATTTTGAACTACAACAATAAATGCAATATCTTCAGTGATCATTGATGAAGGTTCATGTAAAAGACGATTATTGCCATTCCATGTGACTGCTTTGTTGCCATTAAGAGGGGATACAATTTTTTTAAATTAAAAACAAATATTACTATTAGATTCACAAGGGTTTTGTCTACTCCAAAAAAAATTAAAACTTTAACCTCTTTAATGCCTTTTACGCATCCAAAGGCATGCATATGTAAAAAAGCGAATAAATATCTCTCTTTGGTATAAGCTTTATTCCGTTAGAATACAAGTGGAAAAATATTCTGTTATAGTATTCAAAACTAAAATTATTAAAAAACAGACAGCATTATCAACTACTATCTCTGTTTGCATTCTCTTGTTTTCGTCACACGTGTTCCTCTGGCAATTTTTTTATCGTTAAATCGATAGAACGAAACAGCATTTGTAACATATAAAATTTTCTTCATGTCATCTATAGATGTCTTACGACATGCGTGAGGTTAAAAGGATTCGTTAGAGTCAACAGCAGCATATTTATGTATATTTTATATTCATTTTACATTTCGGAGTAGACAAAAGCCTGGTGAATTTAACGGTTAAATTTGTTTTTAATTTAAATGAAAAATGAATGAGTAATGAGAACAACAGAGATTGGACTAGAGTCATGCACGTACTGAATGTCTAGTAGACATTTGCCAAAAAAGGAAAAGAAAGATATTACTTATTTGATACGGCTAAACCTTCAATACTGATTACTTTCAAACCCAAAACGCAATCAAAAAATATTTATTTTGAACAGGGTGCTATGCATCAGAGTGGAATCGAAATGTAATTGCTGGTGCTCCAGAATACCAGCTTTCTTTTCTTGTGTCATAAGTTAGCTACAAACCTTTTTTTCTGCCACAAACGAAGATTTTACTAAAAGTAAAAAATAAAAGGGAAAATTTGATTTCTTCACCTTGGTACATGAAACGAAACATAAACTAGATCTAAAGTCATTATATGTAGTTTCGACCAAATCACACAAATTCTCCTAGTTGCTTCAAAACTGCGGGAGAAAATGATGATTTTGGGCAAAATCGCTAAAAGAAAAAATTTTTCCTGCGACCGCTTGAGCCAATTGATAGAGCTTTTCGAGAACTACAAAATGGACATTTTCTCTTTTTTCATATAGCAGAATATAAGGGACTGAAATTCCAGGCTGTATATTTGTCCTGTTTTATCCTGGTTTTCGAAATTTTCCTGTTCTTCCTGTATTTTGACTTTTTTCTGCAGTCCTACTGTTGACTGTGGTAACATCTGTTAGAAAATCTTTGCTTTTTACGTGAATCCAAATCATCCATGTACACAAATATTTTTATTTTATTCAATCAAACAAGAGAAGAGCAGACTAACAGAAATGACGTTTACACCAAGGATCAGAAGGTCCCCATGAAGACTGACTGTATAAATTCTACACACTCATGTCGGACTTCAAAACAAGTTTTGGAATTTAATTCATAAACCTCCCAGGTCGTGAAAAATGAGTCATGAATGACTCATTTATGTGTCATATATGGCTCATTTTTAAATCATATTTCTCCCATATTTCTCCCATTTATTGTATCATAATGTAGTCATAGTTATGCCATTTTTTTATGGGATAAATATCATCTTATTATGGTCATCAAAATATGAGCTTATTATGATCCTGTTTAGATCATTTTTGACTCATTTTAAGACCATTTTAAGACTATTTATGAGATAAGAAATGCAAAGAAGCAAAAATACGAAACAGCTCGTGCAGATATTGTAACTCTGAACCTATATAGATCAGAAGTCTACGGTGGTATCCACTACATCACACAAATATATATGTTTTTGTTTCTTCTGTTTTGGGATTTTCACTTTGAATGTTAAAAAAACGGAACATATAAAATTTTCTTCATGTCATCTATAGATGACTTACGACATGCGTGAGGTTAAAAGGATTCGTTAGAGTCAACAGCAGCATATTTATGTATATTTTATATTCATTTTACATTTCGGAGTAGACAAAAGCCTGGTGAATTTAACGGTTAAATTTGTTTTTAATTTAAATGAAAAATGAATGAGTAATGAGAACAACAGAGATTGGACTATAGTCATGCACGTACTGAATGTCTAGTAGACATTTGCCAAAAAAGGAAAAGAAAGATATTACTTATTTGATACGGCTCTATTGTAGTAGTACAGACTAATACAAAATGCTCATTCAATATCATCATCGAGTAACTGAAGTTGGTATACTGAAGAAAGGTACTGCCCGTGTGTCTAGTCGTACAAATATTTTGATGAACGAGTTTCCATTAATATTTATTTGCCCTACAGACGTGATTTATTCGTTTAAAATGATTTTATTTGGCTTTACTATGCCTCGTCAAACTGCCGTTGCACTGCTTTATATCGTTGCTTGGTATTCACAAATGACGTTTACACCAAGGATCAGAAGGTCCCCATGAAGACTGACTGTATAAATTCTACACACTCATCCATCCAATCGGTCCATTGGGTTCGAATCCTAGTCTGGTCACACATTTTTCCTTCACATGGCGGATTGTGGATTTTGTATAAGTCATTCAGAAATAATGACAAACATTTGATCAAGTATGTTTGGTTGCACAATTGTTGGTTATTATGTGTGTAAAAAAGGAATAAAACATTTCTAGCTAACAGACTTTTTATAAATTTTTTCTCTAAAACTGATGCCAGTTCACTGTAGCCTGTCGTTTGCATTATTTTTTCAATCTCTTTCGCTCAAGTATAATGAATAATATATCGTCTAAATTAGCTACTCAAGCGCTATAAAATCCTGTATTTTGGTTTTTAATTTGTCATGAACGTGTGGTTTTCTTTCGAAATTTTTTCATACATGGGCTTTTATATG